AAGGATGAGGACATTTTTCAACGATGGAGAGTACTCTGAGGAACTCCCTAACCGTGAGCAACCGCAGGAATACTCGCCTGTAGAGCAGCAGCGAGGAACAGATATTACTATCTCTGTAGATGAAATTACACAAGCTGTGAAAGGCTTGAAAAATGGAAAGGCTGCTGGAATTGATGAAGTTCGCCCTGAAACGCTCAAGATATTAGGCGAATAAGGCATGTGCTGGCTTACACGTGTTTGTCAAACTGCGATGACTGTGGGAAAGAGTCCAGCGTACTGGAGAAGGGAAACCACAAGGAGTGCTCCAACTATAGGGGCATTAAGTTATTGAGCCTCCTTGGTAAAGTTTACGCAAAGGTGCTAGAAAGGAGCTGTCGGGGAATAACTGACTCGAAGATACATGAAGAGCAGTGTGGCTTCCGGCTCGGTCGAACTATCTCTGACCATACATTTTTCCTGCGCCAGATCGTTGAGAAATCAGTACGGCCGTCCTTTGAACATGTGTTTTGTTGACCTAGAAAAACCCTATGACTGAATCCCATGCAACACTCTGTGTTCATGCATGTAAGCATACGGGATAGATGGCCAGCTGCTAAGGGCCTCGAATGTCTATACTCTGATAGCAGGTGCTGCGTCAGAGTTAATGGCGTTAAGTCGAAACCATTCAACGTTCGCACTGGTCTCCGCCAAGGCTAGGTCCTGTCCCCTCTCCTGTTTGTGTGTTAACGTAGTACATCCATGGTCATCCCGGAGAACCTTGGTGTACAGCCTTTGCTTCTGCAGACTGAGAAGTCACAGCCGCGATGGCTTGAGCACGTGTTGCGAATGCCTCCAGAAAGGAAAGCTAAGCAACTGCTTCTTTCGAAACCGATCGGCGGCGGGCCCATGGGACGGCTAAAATTAACCTGGTACTGATATATGGAAGGAGTCTTTTCGAGAGTCCAGTTGTCTTCTGCGGAAGCTCAGAGTCTGGCACAGGATCGGGAACGTTGGAAGCTCTGTCTGACGCGTCTGTCTCCGCGACCCGGAAGAAGCGGCCATGGAAGATGAAGATGTCGCCCGATATTCTGGCAGTCTTGTAGTAGACCTTAAACCCCATGTTATTAGGATGCCTCGTGATACGCTGATATATCTGGGGCATGAACGGTAAAATTACCATAGGTTCATACGAACTGGCCAACTTTAAGTTTGAGCTGGGTTAGGACCTTATTGACATGGAATAGGTGCCAGTACGAGACTGGCAGAACCTTTGGCGACACTTTATTTATAAAGTGCCCGTTAATAGCCCTGAAGAAGTGTTAAATGTTGTGAAGTGTTTTAAATATGTTTCTTCCGTGAAGGACTCTGTTTTCATGGCCAGACCGCATGTAACTACTTGATGCGTGAAGTGACATCGATCTTTTAATTTTATTGTTGAATGCTTGTATTCGAGTTTGAAAACCGTTATTTAATGGTTTATATTTTAAGGAATCAAAGCTGACGCTACTAAGTCTAACATGACAAAGCCAAATTTTCCATCGTTGTGGAGGAGACGAAATGTCTGAGCTTGCGTTGGAGTTTCTAGTGGATTTCTGCGATCGAACTT